GCTGCGTTTGAGTAAGAGGGAGTTACTTGTAAAAATCGTAGGACTGCATGAGATAGTCCATCTACTGTATATAGGACACCAAGACCAATCGAAAGTGAATTTGTTAATTCTGCCTTTTGAACACTTTTAAGTCACTTTATCCTACCGATGCCTACATGCTTAGAATAAAATCGTGTTTTGTATATGACTATAAGTGAACATCGTGAAGTCAATAATCTTGCCGGAATAAAGAGTGGCCTTTCCTGGTACAGCAGACAGTATAATTCATGCGGTAGGACATGGGAATAAGCACTTAGTAATGCAAGTGACCATGCGCTAAATTTCGGCGATATTAAAGTTAGGGTTAAGGTTAGTGTTAGGATTAAGGTTAGATTAAGGGTTAGGGCTAAGGCTCGGATCGAATCGGGCGATAGGTATCCGTCTTGGAATTTAGCGTAAGGCCGCCTGTATTACTGAAGTAGGGGTTTCTACGCCCGTATCTTACATACATCCCGATTATTTCGAGACGGTGCATCGTCGAACACTATTTTGGCCAGCGACGCAGGGAATCTAGCTAACTAAGAGGGGTGTCCGAATTAATACAGCTTCTTTTCGCATTTTGTTTAAGTCACTGACTATACACTCATTCTGGGAGTAGAGTTGCGGGGGCTGAGATATTAGAAGAGTTATATTACCTGTCAAAGGTCGATGAAAAACTCACTAGAATTTATTTCGAGGCTGTATTTGCCGGCTGGCAATCCAGACTCGAATAAGCCAGGTCGAGTATCAAGGATGCGATGCAGTTTTCTGAAGTTTGGGAAAGGAGCGATACGGTTCCAAACCATCAATTCCTCGTCGGTCTTAAAAGCACCTGCTGAACGCTCGTAAGCCGGTTTTGGCCAGTTGGGGGGCTTAATAGTTCCTTTCCAACCTACAAAAACGAAGAAACATTTCAGACAAACAAGTAAGCGTGAAAGCTCGAAAAGATGATTTGATACAAACAGAGGAGCGTAAGTGATAATATCGTGGAAACGTTTGGTAAGCATTCGCTACCGTGACAGAAAGTTCATTACGACAAGAGTCCACATCAAAGAGGGGGCCTCTGGAACAATAGACGCAGTAAACGTCGTGGATTCGAAGGTTATTAATCAAGGAGACAGTTTAGGTGTCACAGTAAACCGGGTGTGTATATGTAGAATGACTGACTAGGGGCCTGAGAGTCACATACAAAATGGTTTTTTCGATGACATTTCTACGCGTATGCTATCTGAACCGTCCACCTTCTTTTGTGAGGACTGAGTGTTTTGTGCGAGTGCCAGCTCGTTCGTGGCATGTGTAGACGCGTTTTCTAGTTCTTGAGAAGAAGAAAAAGATGCGATCGCCAGGAAAAGACTTTTATTCGTTTGACGTTTTGAAGTCCGTCGCGGATTCTTCATCAGAGACATTACCATAAACAGTAGCTGGACCCGTTTTCCAGTTCTACCAGTGCCTTGCACTCGGTCACCGCATCAGATCACAGACCCGATCAGACAGCGTACTTGTGCCGGGGAGAGGAAAGAAGGATTGCGTTCGACTCTGACAGCTCCGCTCTCATGGCACTCAGCGCATATTCCTCCTCATAGACAATCTGACGTGCTTTTAAACTGTCATGGTGCGTTAAAAGCCGACTGACGGGAGTACGCTGTCCTACTCGCAAGATGGAAAGACAAACTCCAATGATTCCTTCCTAATGTGGCCTCTATGGAGCT